TAGCAGTCAAGTGCCTTAGCCACTATGCTACCAGAGCTCCCTTAAAATACGTTGTGCCTTTTTTTTAAAGTCTACTCATACCAAAGAAGATAAATGGTGACCAACTTACAAAACAATAAGTAAGAGATACCATATCAGCATCTAGCATGGATTGCTCATTTTAAACAATTTACTGGTTGTTACAGTAGTATGGCCACTTCCCTATTAAAACCTTGGAAGGCTCAAAAGTATCCTCTTCTATTTATTAACAGTTATATATGAAAAATTCAAATAACCTTCAAATTACTCACTAATAGAAAAAAGGCTATTTTCAAGTTGTAAAAGTGGCAAAAATGTGCAGGATCAGGAGAAATTTATAAAAGGGTTATGTTAAAAACTGCTTCTTTCATGTTTCTTTCCTTCAAATGAATTCCTTTCCCACCATAAATGAGCTGGAAACAAAAATTCAAGGAAATATTTTACTAGCAGAAGTTGGAGTGACAAATTCATTAGTGTGTAGCACCAATTCTGGTACTTTACAGTTTTATGTATTCTTAACATTACAGATAACCTTTAAAAATGAATATGTATTAACTCTATTTTATTGAGCAAACCACTATCAGTAAGTGATGCTTGTATATTAAATAGGCTAAAATAAGACTATGAAATATGATTGTTTTAGTTTACATATTTAATGTAAAACACTATTTTAAATCTGAAATCAGGGAAACGGAAATGATAACAAAGGATGCATCTATGGAAACAGTGTTCTAAAGCCAAAGAAATATAGCAATCCCATTGCCTTCTCTGATATAATTAATTTAAGGAGAGAGTTATCGTACTGGTAATAGTTTTCATACTGTATGTTGAAAATGAACAATAAATTATTCACCATGATATCTCAGCACTAGGTATAATGATTAATGTATATACCCAAGAGGTATATTTTACAAGAGGCTATAAATTCTGTATATTAATGTTACTCTTATATGTTAAATTCCATTAACTATCCCTAGCTAAAAATAACCAGAACAATGGGAAAAATAACAGCTCTAATGGGAAATACAAATATTTAAAAAATATTTACAAATGTTTCATTCTAACCTCTTCTTGATCCAAATCTTTATCTGTGACAT